AATCAAAATTGCTTTTTTTGGCAACTTTTCTGAGCAACACGGTTTCAGCAACACTTTTTCATTGTTTTTTATCGGTGTACCGATATTTGAAAATCTTTTAAATGATTTCTTAACCCATTCAGAAATAGGAAATATTAATTGGAATGAAGTAATTGAATGCGTGAGAGTTTATATGACTACTTGAAGTTAGAATTTATAAAATAACTTGAAAGTTACAAATTGTACATGCTAACACTTTCGAAATTAGAAAAAAGGGAAGAGGACGATAGAAAAAGAGATAATTAAATTAGACTGTCAGCATCGTTCAATTCATTTTTATTCACAGGAAGTGATTAAATAACAACTGCTGATAATATGATAAAGCGGTAAGCATAACCACATATATGAACCATTTAAAAATACATTTCAATCTATTTTCTCTCTCTCTCTCTCTCTCTCTCTCTCTTCCACTCTGCTAGTAATGNTAATTTGTTGTTGTAGAATGCATATTAATTAAAAAAAAAATCTCCTAATAGACAGAAATAATTTCGATCTCTTAAAATAATTGTAATTTCTTATTAAAATATATTTTTCCAAAGATACAATAATGTATTAGTTTGTTTATTTGAATGTTAATTAAGGTGAATAAAAGCTTATCTCTAATTATGATCCATTTCAGTACTTAATGATTAATTCTTGCTTATTTTTGATCAGTCAGACTTTTCAAATATTGCTAACTTTTGCACATTTGTTACATTCAACAAATGCGATGAAATATTTCAGTATTTTACAAGCCAAATATTTTGCAAACAAAAAAGCAATATTTTACAAATTTAAGTATTTCACTTGATAATCAATCATCAATTTAAGTTCTTAAATTCTAGAAATATCTATTTCTCACTCTACTGTTGAATGCTTTTTCAACATTCATATTTTTATGCTTGTAAAAAATATCAAAATATGATCACGCATCCATTTATATACACGTACATACACGCACACACGCAAACACGCAAAAACATCCTACAGGAAATATGAACTTATACTTACAGCGATAAGCTGCTCTTATATTTTGTCTATTATCACACATATCTATCCATTGGTACACACACACACACACACACACACACACACACACACA